TTAGTCTAATTCATTTTAAGATTATTGATTTCATTCGTGGTCATCAAGCACACCAATTTATTATTTTTCATGTCTTACAAAATTTAATTATTTAAGAAAGTATGATTAATTGTAATAATTATAAAGTAGAGGCTCCCATGCAATGCAAGGAAAGTAAATTATAGTTTTAAAAAATGAAGCAAATAATTTGAAGTATGCATAAATCATATATTTAAAAATATCACATCAATAAATAATGAAAAATAATTATTTTTATAATAAATAGATTATTATAATTTTATATAATATTTCTAATTATATATCTGATATAATGCCATCTAGGATGTGTATGTAGCACATCCTTCTTTTTATGTTTTGTTTTTTCCTTTTCTTCTTGTTTTTTTTTTTTTACTTTTTTACTTTGGGGACAAGAATGAGGAAGCATGACTTCAAAATTTAGCTTGGAAGTAAAAGTAATAACATCTCAAATGCTCATCTAATTTAGTAAAACCTTATTCTTTTCCCATATCATTTTTATTAAGCATAAAGATAAATCTAATATAATAATCTCATATTTTAATTAATCTAATTCATTATAAGATTATTGATTTCATTCGTGGTCATCAAGCACACCAATTTATTATTTTTCATGTCTTACAAAATTTAATTAAAGAAAGTATGATTAATTATAATGATTATAAAGTGGAGGCTCCTCGTGCAATGCAAGTAAATGCTAATTTTAAAAAATGAAGCAAATAATTTGAAGTATGCATAAATCATATATTTTAAAATATCACATCAATAAATAATGAAAAATAATTATTTTTATAATAAATAGGTTATTATAATTTTATATAATATTGATATACTAAATAAATCAGCACTGCAAATTTCTTGAATTAATCACACCGATGAACCCACTAATTTTAAAAGAAGTCAAGAACGGTGTCAAGCTTTTCTTGAGGACAGTAGATTATCGAACCAATCTTGGTTTTGCAAATAAACGAGTTTTCTGTTAACGTATTTGATAAAAGCTAAGTCCAAACCATCAAAATAAATTATACACAATCTAAATAAAAGATAGAGCAAAATACTCTAATCTCCCATTTACTTCATCTTAATTATAAATACCTCTTTCTTATTTTTAAAACCTATATGAACCTTTCCTAGTATAAATAATTGAACGTACTCTTGACCAGCCCCAAGAAACAACTGAACACCAAACCCCAGATTTAAGGATCAATGAGGCTAATGATGGATCTGTCCAGAATGATGACAGTGCTCAACAACAGCAGATACAGACTCCAGAACAGCAATCTTATGCAGATAGTCAACACACATCACACTAATCATCTCACCCATCCTCAAATCTGCAGTCTAATGATCTTGGTTGGCCTATTGCTTTGCGAAAAGGGGTAAGATCTTGTACTACCAAGCATCCAATTAGTAATTTTGCCTCTTACGAACGGCGATCTCCCTCTATGAAGGCTTTTACAGCTAGTGTGTCAACTGAATCCATACCAAAAGCTGTGTATGAGGCATTACAGATCCCTGATTGGAGAATTGTTGTTCTTGATGAAATGGAGGCTTTGAAGAAAAATAACACTTGGGAGTTGACAAAACTACCCAAAGGTAAAACTACAATTGGTTGTTTGTAGATGGGTTCTCACAAACAAATGTAACCCAAATGGGAGTCTCAACAAGCACAAGGCTTGCCTTGTAGCTCGGGGTTTTACACAAACCTATGGAATTTATTATCAAGAAACTTTTGCTTCAGTAGCAAAGTTCAATACAATTAAGGTACTTCTTTCCCTCTCTGCAAATCTCAATTGGTGTCTTCATCAACTAGATGTGAAAAATATATTTTTAAATGGTGATTTAGAAGAAAAAATTTACATGAAAATTCCTCTTGGTTTTAAGATTGATAGAAATAAGGGTAAGGTGTGCAAGTTTAAGAACTTATTATATGGTTTAAAACAATCTCCACAAACTTGGTTTGAATGCTTTACTAAAGCAGTTAAAAAGAATGGGTATACTCAGTGTCAATTAGATCATACATTATTTATAAAGCATAGAGATGAAAAGATAGAAGTTCTAATCATCTATATAGATGATATTATTCTCACAAGTGATAATATAAGTGAAATAGAAAGCCTCAAGAGAATGTTGGCTACAAAATTTGAAGTGAAGGACCTAGGGACATTGAGATATTTCCTAGGAATGGAAGTGGCTTGGTCAAAAGATGGAATTGCAATTTCACAAAGGAAGTGTGCTCTTCATTTGTTGAAGGAAACAGGTAAGCTTGGATGTAGACCATGTGCTACTCCTGTGAATTAAATCATAAACTTGGTTTAAATCGTAAAAGTACTTTAGTTGATCAAGGAAGATATCAGTGATTAGTTGGCAAACTTATATATCTCTCCCACATAAGACTTGATATAGCCTATGCAGTGAGTGTGGTGAGTTAATTTTCTAGTTGACCTAATAAAGAACTTATGACAGCTATGTTCAAGATTTTGAGGTACTTGAAGCTCATGCAAAGGAAGGGACTCTATTTCAAAAAGGGAGTTCATAAAGGGATTGAAATTTATACAAATACTGACTAGGCTAGTGCCATCACTGATAAAAGATCGATAACAAGTTATTGCACATTTATTTGGGAAAACTTGGTGACTTAGTGGAGCAAGAAACAACCAGTTGTCTCTCGAAGTAGTGCAGAAGCAAAACTTAGAGCTTTAGCTCTTGGATTGTATGAAGGTTTGTGGTTTGAGAGGCTCTTTAAGGAGCTAAAGATGTGCTACGATGGTCCTATGAAGGTATTTAGTGACAATATGGTTACAATTAGGATTGTCAAAAATCCTGTTCATCGTGGCAAGACCAAGCATGTGGAGATAGATCATCATTTTATCAATGAGAAGATAGAAAGAAAAACTATGGAAATGAAGTATATACCTATAAGACAGCAAGTAGCAGATATACTCACTAAGTCAGTTGCACAGCCCAAGTTTGAAAAATTAACTAGCAAGCTGGGAATGAAGAATATTTATTCTCCAGCTTGAGAGAGAGTGTTAGAAGGCTTCAGGCCTAGGTCCAATAGATAAGCTTAATCATTAAGTTTTATCTATGTAATATCTTAGAATCATTTTAATGATATTGTTTTTATTCTTCGTGATTTAGAGGATTAGAATCTGATTTGAAATTCAAATCAGATATTAGTTCAGATTTTATTCTGATTTACTTTTCCTTGTAACCCTAATCTACTACTCCATAAACACTAAGCTATTGATTAATAAAAATAAGAAACTAAGATGACTTTTTCCCTCAGTTAAATTTCAATATATAAGCATTTTCCTAAAAAAATCAAAAGATCAAAACCAGTCATGCAAAACAGAGGACCACTAGATCAGAAAGTGACAAGATTAATGATGAAGATTGAAAATTATTATGGGACATTATATACATGTTTATTTGTGAGAAGTTAACCCAAAGACTCATTAACAGCCATATAATTTTGCCACATTGTGTGGAATGGGCATTTGAAGGAGAAAATACTTCCCAAATAATTGAGATATTTCTCCATCTATATTATATTCTTTGGTCCCCACCATCTAAATTTTCAACACATGAATAGTTAATGAATGAGAATAATCATATTTTCACATGCTGTGAAAATACTAACTTGGTTCTTTTTGGTCTGCCATTTGAAACTTGCAATCCATAGGTTGAGTGTGCAGCACACTAACTAACAACCTACAAGTTTTCTTGGCTACTAACTTGGTTCTTTGATTGTTGTGCTAGCGTTACTGGTTTTGTGAGATATTGCTCACTCAAGGATAATGCATTGAATATATTAGATTTCATAATTAAACGGATGCCAAAAATTCTTCTTAATGCATTTTTATATAAATTAGGATTTTATTTTTTTATGAAATCAATCAACAAAGGTTAAAATAGAGATTTATATATGATATTTAATTTTGTCTTGTAGTTAGATATTTCACGGTAGTCCTTTGAAGATAATTGATTTCCAAAATAAGTATATAATTGCGTTACTTTTAGTTTCATCTTGAATACACCAATTAAAAAAAAATAGACAGTCTTTTATCATATGGCATATATTATACAATGGTGTAATATTCATATATAGTTCAACTACATAATGTTTGTCAATGAATTTATTTATATACAAAATTGCATTATGACTAAAAGGCATAATATGATTACAAGATAGGAAAATCACTCATCTTCTAAAACCAACACCGTTCCAAATGAAAATCTGGCCTCAATTTTTTCATTAATACCAACAAGATTGCAATTTATACCACATAGTATCAATGGATTGAAAATAAGCATACCTCCATGATCTACTGCAAAGCAAAGGACCCACCACTGCCTAAAATCCCACAGGAAAACCCAATGCCATACTTACAAAGAACCAATTGATCCCATTCTCATATTGATCAGCTACTATATCTTTATTGCTAAAGCCATTTGAAGTGCAATTAATGGAAAGTGGAGGACCACATAAATCGTTGCCCACATAACTTAAAGCTTCAAAGCTTTGTAATTGGATCCCTGTTGGGATTTTTCCCACCAATTTATTGTAAGACAAGTTTAGCATGCTCAAGAAGCTTAATTTGGATATGCTTGGTGGGATTTCACCTAAAAGACAATTTCTTGAGAAATCAATAGTCTCCAACGATTCCATGTTGCCAATATTTTGAGGGATTTCTCCACTAAAATGATTATTTTGAAAGGTTCAAAAAGTGCAATCCATTGAGTCTTGTGACTTCTATTGGTATGTTTCCATATAATTCATTGCTTGAAATGTCAAAACATGTGATGAGGCCAAGGTTAGTAGTGTAATCATAAACTCTTCCTTTTAACAATAGAGCTTGAACTATCAAAAACTCATCAGGCAAACTTGATCGAAAATAAATGTATGATTCTAGACTATTATTTGTCACCAACATAGCCCTCAAATGGTTGACACATTTTGGTACATGTTAAGTCAACTTGTTTTATGCAAAATCCAAGATTTGGAGAGAACTCATGGCACAAATTTCTGAAGGAATGGAACTAAAGAATTTGTTTGATCTAAGAACAAGAACCTTTAGATTTGACAAACTTTGTCCAACCCATGATGGAATCACTCCTGAAAATTGATTATCCCCTAAATCTAAGGAAATCAAGTTGGCTTTGTCCTTCAAAATGGTAGGAAAATTTCTTAAAACATTATTATTACGAAGATACAACATTTGCAACCACAACAAGGATCCCATGGATGTGGGTAAGATCCCATTGAAATTGTTGTTTTCTAAGATCACCGTTGTAAGATATGGCCATGTCATCCAGCAATCAGGTATTTTCCTTGACAAATTATTTGATGCCAAATGAAGAAACTGCAAGGACTTTTTCTCCTCTTGTTTATGACACAAGAAATGAGTAAGTGATCCTGAAAACAAGTTTTTTGAGAGGTCTATGTGCATAAGACTTTGTGATGCATAGGGTAATTGGCCATGTAACTTATTTAACTTTAGATCAACACTTAGTAAAGTGCTAGTGTTTTCCAGCATATTAATTGGAAGCTCTCCTTTAATAAGATTTGTAGAGAAGTTCAAATACCTAACATTTCCAATTGCATTCCAAAACCACGTTGGAAAGGAATCAAAAATTGAGGCATTGGAGATGTCCAGAGTTTGAAGATGATTTAATGATTTGACCTATGAAGGAAATCGAGGACCGACATTCCAAGATGCCAAAATTAAGATCTCCAAATTTTGAAAAGAAGGACTCCAGTCAAGACCTACTTCTAAAGTGAGTGAGATTCTTGGTGCCCAAAATGTTTGCAAATGGGAAAAATTAACAAGATGAGCTTCTTTGACAATCCCTTGAAAGAGATTGTATCCCAAATGAAGTTTATTCAATTTGGAGAGTGATCCTAGACTTTCAAAAGGATTTCCATCAAGTTGATTCCATCTGAGATTAAGACACATTAAAGAAGTTAGATTTTTAAATGTAGGAATTGAACCATGAATAAGGTTTTTCAAAAGAGAAAGATATATCAAAGATGTAAGATTTCTCAATGAGCTAGGAAGTGGCCTAAGAATGGAATTGTTAGAAAGATCAAGAATTTCTAAAGATTTAAGATTTCCCAATAAGCTATGTAATGGACCTTGAATGGAGTTCTAAGAAAGATCAAGTTCAACAAGATTTTTTTAAAAGACCAATTTGGCTAGTGAGATGACTAGATAATCGACAACCACTCATATGAAAAATTTCTAGTGTTTGGGAAACACATCCTGCTGAAAGAACTTTTAATATTTCAGAAACTTTTTGGCATTGATCATATGAAAAAGCTAGTTTTTTCAAGTTGCAAAGATTTTCCACAAAATTTGGAATTGGCCCCTCCAGAAGATTATTAGTCAAATCAAGAGTAACAAGAGAAGTCAAGTTTCCCATGTTTCTAGAAATTAAGCCAACCAAGTGGTTGTTGGAGAGAATGAGAGACTTTAAGTGACTAAAATTGTATAACTAATTAGGGATAGGAGAGCTGAACAAATTATTAGATAAAACAAGATGTTGAAGGAGAGTAAAGTTTTGAATACCATTTGGAATGGAAACATCAAAAAAGTTTTCTAGTTGAAGGTGAACCAATTTTGTCAGTTGAAATATCCAATTCGGGATCAACATTGACGTGCCAAAATAAGAAGAAGAAATTTGAAGGATAACTAGAGATGAAAAGTTCAAGATGGATGGTTCAAATTGATGATTAAAAACACAATGTGACAAGTGCACCTTACTCAAAGAGAGAAGTGAATGCAGAACTTGCAACCAATCAAAGGCATTGGATAGGTTTACATAACTCAGCTCAAGATATTGGAGAGAAGAAAGAGATTGGAAAGATGAAAGAGATGAAAACCACTGAAGATTTTCAAAAGATTTGTAAGATCCATAATCATCTTCATGGGACAAATTAAAACCTCCGAGATGAAGATAGAATAGATTCGAGAGGTTTCCAGTTGGTTGAGGAATGCTTCCACTAAAATCATTACCTCCAAGGTCAAGATGGATCATATTGGAGAGATTTCTAATTTGATGAGGAATGCTTCCATTTAGAAGATAATTGTTTCCAAGGTCAAGATACTGCAAATTGGAGAGACTTCCAATTTGATGAGGAATACTTCCTTCAAAATAATTATTGCTAAGGTCAAGATATATCAAATTGGAAAGATTCCAAAAATGAAGAGGAATTCTTCCACCAAACTCAGCATGAGACAAGTTAAGATATTTCAAGCTTGTCATTGAACCAAGAAAATCAGGAATTTGCAAACCTCCAAAAAAATTTCTGCTCAAATCCAAATACTGTAAATGCTTCAGACCAAGCATAGAAGAATGTACCTCACCACCAAACCATAATGTCTCATAATCTCATCTTTGAACTCAAAAGGAGGCGGAGTTGTGAGGTGGAGCTCAAGAATGTGGCCTGTGATGTTGCTGCAAACAACAAAATCCCAATGGGAACAATTAATTCCATGAGGAGACCAAGAGGCAAGTCTGTTTAAAGGATCTGAGAGATAATGCTTCATAGTAAGCAAAGCATCTCGCTCACTTGTAATGCACTGAGCCTCAGAGGATGCACTGCAAATACATAAATCAATACTTGACAAGGTAATCAACCAAAGAAAAACAAACAGGATAATATTGCAGGAACCATCCATGACAGCGTCAACTAAAGGTTTTTGGCTCACAGAGTTTTTGATATAATTGTGGATGCTTTGAAGGATGTGCAATTGTTGAAAGAAGAGCCAGTATTTATAATGTCATGTGTGTGAAAAGTTAAAAAACAAACTGTCAAAAGACAATTTTTTTAACTATTCACACAAGAGTGTTTGATATATCCTAAACTGTTAAGATGATGTTGTATTGCAAATTGACAAAGTTAACTTTACCTATTCATTGACTCAAAAAATATAGTAAAAGAATTAGAAATTATGAAAAAATATTTTATAAAAAAATTAATACTAATTAAGTCTCATAAATTATAAATAAACTCTACGAGGATAATTTTATTTTTTACCCATATAAAAAACTAAAATATTATTTTAACCAGCCACTTTTACTTGCTCTTAGGTTATTATAGGATCACTATTACTGGCAACAACATATGAAAGTAACTAAAAAATATCACTCTCTCTAATCCTATTTTAAGGTAGAGAGAGAAGAATTTTTTTGATCCTACTTATAAATCACATTATTAAATTTTTATCATAAATTTTTTTACCCCCCATTGAATGTTAGATAAAAAATATGTTATTGAAGTGTCTATATTTAATAGGGACAAAATTGAGAACTTATTAAATTTTAAGATAAAGTTAATGAATTTTAAAATTTTTTTATACTAATAAAATATGTTGACAATGATTTATAAATGAGATCAAAGCAGTATATTTTTTAAGTAATGATAAAGATTAAAAATTATTGACATTATATACATGTGCAAGGAGTTGACCAAAGACCAATTAACAGCTATATGTGGAATGAGCATTCCAAAGGAGACAACTCTTATCAAATAATTGAGATGAGATATTTCTCCATCCGTACCCTATCACTTTGGTCCCCACTTCCTTTAAATTTTCAACACATTAATAGTTAATGAATGAGAGTATTCATATTTGCAGACAAGTACGTGACGTGGAAATTTTTTTTGTAGTCATAATCTAATCTTGTAAAGTATTTTCACAATTTATTTTTTTATGCGTGTTAAAAAATAATAGTGTTATACATTTTTTTAGTTTTTTTTTTGAACGTAAGTTACACATTTTTTAGTTGTAATTCAATTTTTTCAAGTCTTTTGTTGCAAATTTTGAAAATTCATGGTGATTGGAGTAACTTGCTGCACGCAAGATTTTTTTAATTTTCACCTTTTGAGTTGAAGACCTTCCCCCCGCCCCAAAAAAAAAATCTCTAAACATTGGATTCTTTTTATTGAAAGGGGAGACAATTCTCTTCATAAATAATTTTCTAAAAGTAAAATCATTATTCCATTAAAAACCTATCCTTATATTGAAAGGTAAGGTAATTCCCTCCTAAATAATTTTTCAAAGACAAAATTGTCTTTCTATTAAAAACATATTATCTTTTCAATTATTTATTAATATAAAATAGTTGTGGGATTCACATGTAACCATAACAATGTATTCAGGGCTATTTTAACCATATGCCAGAGACCTCACAGCTATTTTATATTAACAAATAATACAGAAGATGACAAGTCACCGACACAAGGTGATTTTATACTTGAAAAAACTGTTTAAAGGGATATTGCTTCACCATTCACCCCCTAATGCTCCTAAAAAAAAAAGTTGGGGGAATCACATCCAATTTCCTCTCAAAAAAATTAATTATAAATAAGAATTAATAACAAATTTTATTTGAAAAAAAAAATTATGTTCCTATTTTAACAATAATTCATTTTACACTAATTTTTATTTGTGATTAATTTTATCTTGCGACAATGTTGAATATTGATTTCTGGTTCTTGCTGTGCCTCTGAATTTTTGTCAATCATTTCCTCATCTAGCTTTGAGTTGTTTCTGAGTAATAAGTCGATTTCTTCTTTGGATGCAGGTGGGTTCATGATCTCTTCCTTGACTGGTGAAGCTGAAAAGATGAAGGGCATGTTTGGTTTACTCCTCAACTGAAGTTAGGGGTGATCCCAACCTCAGTTGAGGAGCAAGAAGCCCATTATAGGATCCCATATCTTGTTTGGATGAAAAAAAATGTTAAATGAGCTTCTGGAGTAAAACAAGTGTTATAATAGAAGCTAACTGATAGAGCTTTTCAACGCAACGCTCCTTAGAAACGTCAAGGGATATTGAAGGTTAAAAATTGTCAGATTCTCTCTCCTTATATCCACTAACACCTCACCAAATCGCTCACCCGTCTTTGTCATATGTGTTAGATATTATAAAATATTTTTGAGTATTTCAAAAAGAATTATTATAAATTAATAATAGTAATTATTATTTTAGTCTATTTATTATTTTGTAATGTATAATTTAAACATCATTATTATTTGAAACCATTTTTAATTGTGATTAAGGTGACTTTATGGCCCAGAATTATGAGATTTGCCTATAAAAGGCAGTGCTTGCCACATGTTCTAGGAGAGCTTTTGTGCTCTTAACCTTTCTCTCCTCTTTTATCACATTGTTTTGTTGTGCATATAACTGAGGTTATTTTATGAATTTCTATTGTTCTGTGTCCCTACTTTCAGTAGGAAGAGTCTATTTAATCTTGGGGAGCTGCCGCTAATCAACCCAATGTAGCGGAATAGCTCTTAAGGACAGTGTCCTCAAGCACGACTCAGATTGTATTTTTACCTACTAGTGTCAACAATCTTAAGAGCTATTGACTGCAGCAAGGAAAATTGGGATTCGGTGGTGAATATTCTAGACTAGGACAAAAATGATGAATTTTTGTCTGATATAGGCAGTTTCTCGAGTAAGCACCAATAGAAAATGCTGAAGAAGGCCATTAAGGAACCGCGAGGCTGAGAAAATCGTCCAGTAGGCTAAGCAAGCAACTGCGAGGATGAGCGTTTCGGCCATCGAGGATGATCTAAGTGATGATTAGGTTACAGATAAGTATATATTCAGTCCTTCGTGTTCTTTCTTCTTATCACTTTACTCTTTATGAAAAATAGAATTCTTATACTGGCCGCTTATTCTATATGCTTGCGTACACACATTGCTTATCAAATTTATACAACAGAGGTTGATGTTTGTCTTGTAATTGTTTATACTCTTTAGTAAAACTTTTACGTTGCCCTTTATTTCTGAAGCATTCAAAATGTCTCTAGGTGTAGAGAATATTTTCAGGCGTGACCCACTATCTTACTAGTTTATTGTGATAATTTTTATACCGTAGCAATGCCAGAGGCTTTGATATTACATTCATTTTGGAATATATGGCTAGAATTTTTTGAAGCAATGGTTCATAAATTGCAATGATGAGAATTTATTATATTTAAATAATTTGATTGACAGTTATGTGAAAATATCGGGATTAATTTTTGATGCTTTATTTAATTGGAAAAAGTTACAATTTTCTTATACTTAGTACATGCCATGAGATGGAAACAATTTTCAGTGAATTAAATAGTTGTAATTAAGCGAATGAATTATTATAAAGTGGTTACATAATACAATAATTTCCTGCACTTATTGGTGTTGTCTAAAGCATAATTGTTATCTTATAGTTCAATGCTAGATAATATTTTGCGCATTAAGCGACAACATTTTGGTGCCAATGTGTAGTAAATTTATGAGAATTGACATGGTGCCTAGACTGCACTGCTTTTTGGATGTTGCCCAAAAAATATTTTCTTGATCAAAATTCACAAATTACTGTCCAAAGTGTGGGGCTATATGCATGCCTTGATATATTTATGGTGAATGTTACAATTACGTGAAATTCTACTTTAATAGATTTGAAAGGTTCTATTTGTGAAAACTTTTGCATCTAATTTTGTGATGTATTTTATGACTATGAGTGTCATAATTGTGATTAATCACGATTGGAAGAGAGAATATGAAACTTGGTTTATGCACTAGATCTTCCCTCTTGAGTTGATAGATATTTAATTTGCTGGATTGCTAAGCTTAATTAATCGATGGTTGTTTTAAATCCAAGTGAAATTCGATTTGTGATTTTCTGAGTTTTTTATTTCCTTGGATTTAATTGTTGTCGTTGAATGGACTTGGAGTCTATTTTTAATGCTGATATTGGAATCTCAAATTGTCATTGAAGAATTTATATATATATATATATATATATATTTCGATGAGGTTCTAGAAGCATTAGTCTGAATATGTGATATGTATTTAGTGTTTCAACATTTTATTTGTTGATATTATTGGAAAGGTGAGAAGGCTTTGTGGCTGATTTATCCATATTGTGGGAGTATGTGCATGGGATATTATATTTATGGTGGATTTAAAATTTATGAAAAATTTTAATTTAATTAAAATTATTATTGATAAGTTGTGAAAAATATTTAAATAATTTTCATACATGTAGTTGAAATATATTTGAAAATGTGGGGGTGTTTAGCAAAATTATTTTGCTTGATTCTAAAAATTGTGTTGTGCCATATGGTTAGCCTCATTTTATAAATGCCACGATAGTTCTACATTATGATTTAGAAAAAATATTATATGGAAGCTTTATTATTTGCATAAATGCAAAAATTGTGATTTATCATTTTGTGTGGCTTGCAACAAGCATTATGATAATGGCACAAATTTACTCATTTATCTAGTGTAGATAAATATATTTAAAAAAATAGGTCCATGACCTATTTAATTTTTTTGACATAAATATTCATTATTATGAATAATGATTTGTTTATGTGTTATAATCCCATGAGATAACTATTTTTTTGAGAATAGTAGATTCCCACTGTATAAAATACGTGGATGTTTACTGAGTTATAAATTTGTGTGAGAAAACCCACTTGTGATTATCCACCATTGGTAGTGATGAGATCAAAATATAATGATAGAACCATAGTAAAGTCTAAGCTAATTAATTTGAAACTGGATTGGAAGTTAAGTTGTTAGAGATCAGCTAAGTAATTATTTTATTGTGTAAAACTGACACGTAGTGTCAATGAATTCTTATGAGGTTAATATGTCATTTAAAAAAAATGATATAA